TATATATATATATTCTTCTATAATAATGAGAGGATTCAAGATTCACTATTTATACTACAGCAAATTACTATAGCATAATTATTGTAGCACTGACAAGATAATCCAGATTCACCATTCATGCTCCAATAAAACCTGTAGCATTATTCCTATAGCTCAGACGGGATACGTAGCATTTTAAAAATATTACTATAACACTTAAAACTGCAATTAAATACAGAATTACTGCAGCAAAAATAAAAAATGGAGGCCGCGTAGTATATATATATAAGAGAATCATAATAAGAAAAACAAATTCATTTTTTCCTTTGCGGAAGAGCAGGTTCAACACTGCAACTGCAGCTATAGCATATACTACAAAATTCCAAATACACTGTTTAATAAGGAGCCTCCATAGACCTCAACCACTTGAAAAATAATGTACTCCTCTTAGCAATTTGCTAATTATATACATAAAATAACTAATGCATCCAACAAGTTGTTACCAGAGACCATTTAACCTAGGAAAAATCAAACCATAGGGGTAATAAGAAAAAACATATAAAAACCCCAGCTCTCTATTTGAGCTACTCTTACTCTTGATTCCAGTATGAGTGATCAAGTACTAAAAGCACATGTCCATCATTAATCAAAGACAACAGAATATTTTCAGTTCACAAGGTAAATAATGGGACATCAGGAAATTTTTAGTTTGTTCAAATTGAAGATGTTTAAACCACTGAACAATTTGCAAAGGTTTTCCCAGTTCTCATTCAATCCACTCTACAGTTCAAACATATTACTTCCACTTCCTGAGACGCAGGAAGCTGATGGAGCTTAAAAGATAATGGAGACTTTCCTCCCAAGACTTCAGATTCGAGTTCATGAGATCTGCCCTCGTAAAAAGGCCTGCATCAGAATCATACGGGGTTCCGTCGAATTAGAAGAAAGTGCCTTCTGGAGGCTGGACTAGTTTTCGGTTGTGGGGAGCAGCCATTTCCTTCTTCAGCTGTGTCAATATCGACTCCATTGTGTACTCGCGCTGCCAATTTGCTAGCATACTGAATTTCTTTGGCTCAACCTGCAATTTTTGAACCACAATTTGATTAAGAGAGTAAATGAACCCAAAAATTGCAAGGATGTAGTACACATGTAAGGACATAGCCTTCAGGAGTATAATAAAGCCATTAGTTTGCGAAGATTGGTGAGCAATACTACAATAGAAAATGAGGGGAAAAGGTAAAGACTGCTCTTGTGGGGAAACTGGTGATCCATAGCAAATATTTCATTGTGCATAAACTCAAATTGCAAATGTCCCAATACAAAGGAAATAGTGGAGTCAATGAGATCGTGAACAAATGATATCAAGATAGATCATTACCACTCCGGTCTCATGATTGACACAAGTCATGTTTATGCGTGAGTGGAATCGAACACTGGGGGGTTTCTCTGGATAGTCCTTGTCACAGAACAGCTTCAACTGATAGATGCGTCCCTCATGCACTGACTGCAGCAAATTGCAGGAGATCATATAAAAAGTTTATAGGCTTTAAAGGTTGTTCAGTTGTAATCAGTAAGAAGATTTTACATTGTGCGGGCCAATGATTGTGCCTGTCCAGGACCGCATGTAGATATCATCTCCATCATCCATTCCATAACTCACAGTCCCGTCACCAATGCCCTTCTCTCCTCGTTCAAGTTCTTCTAGCAACCGGAAGTTCCGAGGAACTACATATAAAATGAAAGCAAATGAAAACAATTTATGAATGCATATTATAAGGTTTTGGTAATGTGTGTTCTTGAGTTGTGTTTTAATTTAGATTTTGTCGCTTGATAATAAGGGAGGAGATGAAGTAGTTGTATTGCATGGTGCGGAAATTGCCAAACAAACAAATTCTTGTGCATCACTAAGTTTACAGACATCTTATACCAACTCACATTCTTCAATTGTATTAATTTCTCACAGCTGATGGCAAGTGTATAGTCTATAGATTAATTGTCAAATCACAATTAAAATAGGGTTTTTGATATTAGTCCCTTAAATCATTAATAATTTGAATTAGTCCCTCAAAACATGGAAATTGCTATTAGGTGCCTCAGTTCCTATATCTTCCTACTGCTACTCCTAATTGGAGGGATAAATTTGAAACAACTTATAAGAATTAAGGAACCTAATGGAAATTTTAATGATTTGATGGACTAGATTTGAAACCATTTGTAAGACTTGGGGGACCTTATAGCAATTCAATGATGTAAGGACTAATTTCAACATATTAAAGGTTTAAGGGACTAATATCGAATAAACCCTTAAATAGGTTTCGGTCCTCGATATTATCAATAAATTCACTTTGAACTTCAGATTTTCTTAATATCATAAATTACACGTACATGCACATCATCAGATCAAGCATTACAAACATCCCCAGAAAGAACATTGCTCCAAACTACTTAAGGTTCCTAACAATCAAAGTTACACATATATTTACTTGACTGCTACAACTAACATATGCTACTTCTACAAACTCAAAGAGGCTACCCGGTTAGCAATTGCATACATTTTGACTACTAAGTTCAATTTCTTTAACTTAGATTTTACCATTAAAGTTTAGTCTACACATACAGATGAACCCAACAATTTTTTTAAAAAACAAGCACACCAAAGGTAAATACTGAAGAGCCCTGGATAATACCAACATTCACAGCGAAAAAACTCAAAAGATCACCAGGGTCCCCATATATTTCAAAACAAAGCTAAACCTGTTTCTGAAATTACTTGAGACTAGTTTATCTTGTATTACCTTTTAAGGAGGAAACTTGTTCTTTTCAGTGAAAGGTAGATGCTCCTATTTTCACCTCCACTAGATGCAAGATTTCATGCAGTAACAACTGGTGACAGGAGGTCGGAACTCTGGCAGTCCTAATGCAGTGGTACAAAGTGCTCACTGCAACTGGCTATCAGTCTCATGCCGTGATTTAATGGTGTAACTGGATGCTTTGGGTCTTTCGCTTTTTGGACTGTACTAGTTGACCAATGTAATATAGGCGATGGCATCATTTGCAACGGTAGGAACCTGATCTACGACCAATATTTTCAAACATGCCTTGATTGCTAGGAGAAAAGGAAAAAGGAGGCCGACAAGGCTAATGGGTTTCCTAAAAATGCTAAGATAGAAAAATAAGGCAATCATGAAAACTGCGTAATCTGCAAAAGATCTATATGGCACCAATGCATGATGCCATGACCATAAAAGGTCTTGAGGCATTACCATTTATTTATATATGAAAAGCCAAGAAAATTTCACGTCTTAAACATGATAATTTTACCAAGTTGGAACTGTGAGATGGCTAGCTAATTACTATCTTTGTAAGTGGTCTTCGGGTTTGTTTCTCACCATTCACAGTTTGATGCCTCAAGGGTATTTTCCCCCCCTTGTTCCGCCTGTTGTGTTCGCATCATGTGCGCATGTGTTTCTGTTGGGGGTGGGGTGAGGGGATATCACCTGCCCAAAGCATTAGGTTAAGTGACCTCAATACCCGCATTAGAGACAGAGAGACAGAAAACAGATAGGTACATTGGGAAGGAGGGAGGGAGGGTAAAAATTGTGTACGAGATTGTGCTGTCTTTTTCAATGACTTGGTTCCTAAGAATGCAATACATTCTCCTTCATATAAAAGGATTCCTGAATCAAAACTGTTATGGTTCTGCTTAAGTAAAAATTTCATGTAAACGAAGCAAATTGCCATATCATATGCATCATTAAGGACCTAATAAACAATAATGATAAATCATACACATGTAAAGTGCATATTTGTACATAAGTGATAGGACAATGGAAAACACAAGCAAAATTGATTTAAAATTACAACATGAGACAGACCACCACTTTCTATGGAGATGACATGAATAAAATAAAAAATTTGAATGAACATTTAATTACTATATGCTTTATTAAGAAAAAATGTTTGCTGAAGTTTGACTGGAGAAGAACAATCAAGAAAGTGGCTATAGTTTGTTATCAATATATAATCAATTTTTTTCTGTGTTGCAAGAATGGAATACTAATACCCTCGATTCTTTTAGATTCACTGTGTCCACAACTAAAGAACTAGAACTCCCAAGCAGTTGAAAGGCTTTGCTGAGGCATATAATGATGAAAAAGTACATTCCAATCAACAGATACCTTTAAGCTGCAATTAACGGACCCAAGCAGGAGATCTGAAACATGCCTTTTGAAGAAACGAAACTCCGAAATGCTTCTATTGTGGTGATATCTTAGAATAGTTCTAAAATTGTAAACTAAATGTGAGTCAGTTGTCAAGCTTTATCCTTAAGATAATGCTTCAATGGAAGTAATCGGAAAAATTTTACAAAATTTGTGAGATAAGTCAATATAAGTGCTTCATGCTAAATATAAGCCTAGGATCATATTGCAATGTTAAGTCATAGGCAAAGGTGGGATAAAAAATCAATCAGGCACTCTACTAAAACATGGAGTCCAAGTGGGCAAGGTCAAACACCTGGCATCACTCTTCTCTAGGCCTTTCTGTCACTGAATTTACCTCATATCCATACATGGCATTCATGTGCCCTGGAGCCATTGCATGCATATTGCCATATACAAGCAAAGAGAGCAGATGGACCTCAGCAAAGCACACATGTTAACTTATTCACGGTAATTCAATGCAAACGGTCCTCAGTACCGCAGAATGGGAAAAATGACTTAATATTTCGCAATCTTCAGAATTCGATAAATGTTTGTTGTCGCTGTTATCACGGTGGTACCAAACGACATAAAAACCAAGATCAAGCACGCATATCCCCAAATGTCTCTTCATATGCCACTTCTTTCAAGTCAGCGCATACCAAAAAATACAAAAGGAAAAAAATGTAAATCTGTCTTGTCTATCTGGTAAATGTTCGACATCTAAATTTAAACGACCACAAAGCATATTCAGTTGAATATAGATCAGAACGTTCCAAGCTCACAAAACCAGCAGCCTCCAAATTCCACTAAACTAGAAAAAACGTCTGGAGCAACGGACAAGAACATATGATTACTACTCGTCTAGTTAACAAAAGAAGCCTGTGAACAAACTTCAATCGTGAATTTGTCTACAAACAACTATGAGTTACATCTATATTCAACTACATGATACGAAATAGTACCAGGAACTTATAATTTTAAAATTCCATTAATCAGAGAATTAATTAAAACAAAGCAACATGGGATCATAAAAAAATGCATAATGCAAGTATCATTAGCCATTAGGAACTAGTAATTTCAAGGCAGACTCAATTATGGGAAAATACCCAGCATCCTCAAAAACCATGTAAAAAGACCATACACATCATCAGCATCACATATCACTTTTCCTAACACACGGGTCACCTAGGTAGCAAGAAATCCTTATCCACAAACACTCCAAACCAAAATTGACAAGGCATCCTCACCTAGCATAAAACATAATCTCAACTCCGCCGACAAGGAAACTAGCAGTTTTCAACTATTTGAATATATCATATCCGAAAGAGGTACTAAACTCCAAGCCCTCAAATTACTATGATATTTACTGCAAAATAAAACAAAAAAAAATTAAAAGATACAAGGATATAACATAAACATCCTGCCAGTTCTTGAACTCGATCATCAAAACTAAGATCTCCATCAGAGACGACAAATACTAGAAATTCATCAAACTATTCGAGTCCAATCTTTGCACAAGATCGAAACCCTAAGATTTTAGGAACAACTGAGATCGATTTCTCACAGATCCGTACGTTTCACCTATGATCCAGTACAGTAGACAAAACCCTAATCTGAGGAAATAAGGAGAAGATTGAGGGGGTAAAGAGAAAAATCTCACCAACGACGCTGGATCCAGCGGAACTCCCCATTGTAAATCAATTGAAATGATCTTCGAATCTCTCTCTCTCGATCAAAAAGTGGAAGATTCTAAAAAATCGATCGGCAGAAAAATAAAGAAAGAGCCCAACCGAATCAAAGAGCTTAAGCTCGTTCCCCTTTTATAGCTTCTTTGCACAAAACCCCTCGGATTCATGATAAATGCAAGAGCCTGTCCTGAGGGGAATGTAATTTCTTTAATTTTGAGCCCCTTCTGCAAATTGTAAGATGCGTGAAAATGGGGGATACGGTTAGGGGTTAGGGTCGGGTCCAAATGCCCGACCCGAATCCAGTCTGCAGGTTCAGAAATGCCAAAGCCAGTATGTGCACAGGGAAATGTGAGGTAACATTTTTAGGGTAAAATTGCAGATAACCACATCATCTAATTAGAAGTACTTAACACTCACATATTGACATTTTGAGGACGTATAGCAATTAATCCTCTCTACCTTGTTAAACTGAGAGGTGTTAAGTGCTAACGAATGAGTTAAAGTATGATAATTGTTACCGAAGATATAAATGAAATGGGTTATCTGCAGTTTAAAATAAATTTCACCTATGTAAAGTACTATTAATAGTATTAAAAATATGTTTTTATAAGGATCAGTGCATAATGTATCAAAAGATTGGATGCTCTCAACTATATTTGGGCAGTAGAGTTGGCTTCTTCACTGCATTCATGTAAACTTTGTTCAAAGTAGAGCTTTCTTATAATGGTTCAAGCCTGCCTTCCCTTAACAAGGATGACTGCATGTGTAAGTTAATGTGCTTACTATCGTTAAATGGTTTCCCCGTGTAATGTAAATCGTATCACTTTAACTAGTAAAAATTTCACCCGCCGTGGGTAGTGCAGATGGTCTGAGAGCTGTTGCACGCAGCGGAAATTTCGGCAGCACTTCGGCAGCACAACAAGAGAGTCAGGTCGCAATAAGAATTCTTGTTTCTCAAAGGGAACAAGAATCTGAAGCCTAATATCTCATCAAAGTGAGATATTAGCTCTTCCTCTCGTCAGCTCTAGGACTGCGAGTCGAGGGAACCTAAAAGCTATTACAAATCATACAAATAGCAGTACAACCAATTTTACGTGGTTCGGCAAATTACCTACGTCCACGGGGCAAGGAGGGGGGAGATCCACTAATAGAGGGAGAGAATACAACTAGGGTTTACAATCACTCACAATCTAAACCCTCAAACAAACTCTCAAATCCCTCACAAATACCTCTCAAAGAGATGCACAAAACCCTAGAAGGGACTGCTCAAAATCTCCTCAATTTCTCTCTCAAATTCTCTCAATACTTTGCCTATCTCTTTCTGCAGTCGCACACCTGTAGCCGCAAAGCTATTCCCCTCTGCCTCAAAAATCAAGTCCTTGCACACCAACCTAAACAAAAAAAGAACTAGGCTTATATATTGATGTATTCGGGTGGGCCTTGGGTTATTCGTTCACATGGAAACGAATTCTCACGCGGAAACCACGTCCTTCATTCACGTGGTCTGGCCCACCGCCCACTACAAAACGCGTTCGTTCACAATTCTCCACCTTGGTGAAGTTTCTTCCAAAACTGAGCCGACACCAAAGCAACCAAATGTCCCAACTTGTTGTGTCCAGTACGAACTCAATCCATAACAAGTCGAGAACCCGAACGAGAGTCCAAACAATTTCACCCACAACAACTAATCCAAACCGGCTGCATCTGAAAGACTGCCTACGTATCCTCTTACCCAAGGAATCAAGCCGAACGTAGTTCACCCAAATGGCCGCCAACGGCCTCAACAATCCCGAATGTGCAACAAGTTTCGACAATGATCAAACTTGTTGCTCGGAACCACCTTAGTGAGCATATCTGCCGGATTATCCTTCGTGTGGACTTTAACAATCTCCACATCGCCATCTTCAAGAACATCCCGAACGAAGTGATAACGAACGTCAATGTGCTTCGTCCTCGCATGAAAAACCTGATTCTTCGCCAAATAGATAGCACTCATGCTATCACAATGAATAGTGCGATATACCAAGTTCCTCCAAAAGTCCTCGAAGCCAAATAGCCTCCTTCACAGCCTCCGTAACTGCCCATATACTCGCCTCCGTCGTAGACAAAGCCACCGTCGACTGTAAGGTGCATCTCCAACACACCGGTGCACGGGTCAAAGGGAACACATACCCCGTCGTAGACCGGCGCTTATCTAAATCCCCGGCATAATCCGAATCAACATAGCCAATGCATAGCTGCCCACCTTTAGTGTCCCGCTCATAAACCAAGCCAACATTGAGCGTACCTCGAATGTACCTCAAAATCCATTTCACAGCGTCCCAATGACCCACTCCCGGATCATGCATGTATCTCGATACCATGCTTACTGCCTGTGACAAATCTGGTCTCGTACATACCATCGCGTATGTAGGCTGTCTAAAAATCACAATAGATAGCTTATCCCCTATCAAACACCGATGATGGTTACAATCTGACGACTTCCAGAAGGCTACAATTTGAAGACTTTCACGTAGATCGCTGAAGGTTACAATCTGACGACCTTCATGACAACCGATGAAAGCTCTAGTTCAACAGCATTCACAATCAATATCGGGAGTTACAATCTGACGACTCTCATATTCTCAAGGAGCCAAGACGAAGATTACAAGACAATGATCTTTGCAACGCTATGACAAAAGAGATTACTTGTTGATAATCTCTCCAAAGCAAGACGCGGAACTCATCACCGCACTCTAAGATCAAAACACGGAGGTTCTCCCTGTGTATCAACACCAAAACACGGAGGTTCTCCCCGTATGTCAACATAAAAACGCTGGAGTCGGATCCGCGTTACAACATCAAAACGCGAGGGTCGAACCCATGTTACAACATAAAAACGCTGGAGTCGGATCCGCGTTACAACATCAAAACGCGAGGGTCGAACCCACGTTACAACATAAAAACGCTAGAGTCGGATCCGCGTTATAACATCAAAACGCTGGAGTCGGACCCGCGTTACAACATCAAAACGCTGGAGTCGGACCCGCGTTACAATATTAAAACGCTGGGATCGGACCCGCGTTTTTCAACACCCAACGAGTACCCAACTCCGCGTCTCAATTCTAAAACACGGAGTTAGGATCCTGAACGCCCACGTGGGCGTTTGACTCGTTCAAACACGAGCTGAACGGTTACAGGAATCGTTTTCCCTCCACGATTTGAGGGATTTCCGCCCCACTATGGAGAGAATTAAGGGGACGGTTACACCCCTTAATTCCCTATAAATATGGGTAAACTCAACTGAGTTAAGGGCTGGCCTTTTTTTTCGGATCGGGGAGATCGGCAGCAAGGTTGGATTTTCTTGGCTTGGATCGACCACTGGAGACAGGCTTTTGAGGAGATCGGCATCATCTTCCAACGAAGATCATCTTCAACTTCAGCAACAGGGAGCCTCTGTCCTTGGCTTATAACCGACTTTCGGTTCAAATCAACTCTTTTTCAAGAGTTAAAACTCGTTCAGAGTTATCAACTCATCAAGAGTTTCGAACTTGCCACGCAAGTTCTCCACAGCGTCGAATCGTAAGGAGAAGACATCGTTCCAGTGAAGCAAAACATCGGATCGTCAACGGAGAGCAAACTCGACGCAAGCATTCGAGGGAGGCACTCCATCGCCACCGTGAAGAACCCAGTTTTAAATAAAGGAGAGAATCAAATTCGTTCTCTTCTCTTTTGTAATCGAATTGTAATCGGAATCAAAGGAATACAAGTCAATTTTCTTTATTCTCTTCTTTGTAATTTTTCCTACATACAGCGTACATCAAGCTCCCAACTGCGCTCGCATATGGAGTCTTCGACATCAACTCACGATCTTCAACTGACTTTGGTGAAAGACCAGCTGAAAGCTTTAAATGGGCTCCCAATGGTATACTAACTGGCTTCGTATCCATGCTAACATGGAATCGTTGTAGAACCTTCTTCAAATAAGCCACCTGTGTCAAACAAATTCTGCCCTTCTTCTTGTCTCTGCCGATCTCCATCCCTAGAATGCGCTTCGCCTCGCCCAAGTCCTTCATCTCAAACTCATTTGAAAGCTGAACTTTCAACTCATCTATAGCCGACCTGGAAATAGAGGCAACCAACATGTCATCGACATAGAGCAACAAATAAATGTACGCACCTCCTTTCAACTTGCGAAAATATACGCAAGGATCAAATTGGCTCCGAGTGTACGAATGACCAATCATAAAACCATCGAATCGCTTATACCACTGTCGAGGAGACTGCTTCAAACCATATAGCGATTTCTTTAGTTTGCAAACTAACTTATCTTTCCCTGCAGCTCGAAATCCCAATGGCTGAGTCATATATATTTCTTCATCAAGATCACAATGAAGAAATGTCGTGTTCACATCCAACTGATCTAACTCCAAACCATACTGTGCCACCAAAGCTAGCAGAATCCGAATCGAAGAGTGCTTCACCACCGGAGAGAAAATCTCATTATAGTCAATACCTTCCTCCTGTGCATAGCCCTTCGCAACCAACCTAGCTTTGAACCTCAATGGAGTACCCTCAATGCCCTCCTTCTTCGTCTTCCGCCCCTTTGGAAGCTCAATAAGCTCCCATGTATCGTTCTTATGAAGAGATTCCATCTCCTCCTGTATAGCCACCTGCCACGAATCAACCTCCGAACTCTGCTCGGCCTATCTGAATGTAGTAGGCACCAACTCATCGATACTCTCCACCGGAAGTGCATACGCAACTGTGTCGGCATACCGTGCTGGCATCTGTATGTTTCTCCTCTGTCTCCGAACCGCAATAGAATCATGTACCTGAGCCGTCGGTTCCTGATCCTGCACATTTGTACTCGTATCCTCCGTGTCACCGTCGTGCTCGCCTGGCGTCACCTCAGTCGGCACATGCATGAATACTGTACCATCTGGACAATGTGGAGCTGCATCGATCTCCACCACTTGCGATATCTCCTCCGTCGGATCGCTCTCCACCTGATGAGAGCTGGGAAGCTTCAAGATAGAAGCCTCATCGAAAGTGACATCTCTCCTTGACACCACGCTTGAATCCTACAAATATGGCATTCCTAGCTCGAGGTTCCAATTTATCAGTTCTAATATGATAATATGCAGGGCATCCAAATACCTTGAGCTGGTCATAGTCATGTGCTGGTTTTCCCGACCACATCTCCATAGGGGTCTTCCCCTCAATCGCAGATGAAGGCAGCCTATTAATGAGGTGGCTCGTATATGTAAGTGCCTCAGCCCAAAAGATCTTCTCCAAACCACTCTGCGACAATAAGCATCGGATCTTCTCCAGTAAAGACCGATTTAATCTCTCTGCCACCCCATTTTGCTACGGTGTATGACTAACCGTGAAGTGCCTCTCTATGCCCTCGTCTCGACATAGCTGCAGAAAAGGGTCAGAAGTATATTCACCACCGTTGTCGGATCGTAACATCTTGATCTTTCTCCCAGTCTGCAGTTCCAATCTCTTCTTCCACTCTACAAATAAATTTAGGACTTCACTCTTCTTTGTCATGGTGTACACCCAACAACGCCTAGAATAGTAATCTACAAAAGTGACGAACCAATGTTTACCACCAAATGATGCAGTCTTGGTGGGACCCCAAACGTCTGTGTGCACGTAATCCAGGATGCCCCTCGTCTGATGAATGGCAGTCCCGAACTTCACATTCGTCTTCTTGCCAAGAACACAGTGCTTACAGAACTCAATCTTCCCACTCTTGGCTCCCTTCAATAGCCCCTGCTTGCTCAATACCTGCAGTGACTTTTCACCTGTGTGCCCCAACCTATAGTGCCAAAGTCTGCTCATGTCCGCTTCTGAAATAGCCGAAGCAACCTGGCCAATCTCGGTGCTTCCCTTCAGATAATACAAATTCCGATTGCGGACTCCCCTCATCACCACCAATGATCCCTTAGTAACCTTCGCTACAGCGTTTTCGAAAGTCACCTTGAATCCCTTCGCCTCCAAAGCTCCAACTGAGATAAGATTTTTCTTCAGTTGAGGAACAAATCTCACCTCCTTCAACTCACGGACTACTCCATCGTGCATCCTAATCCGCACGGTACCTATCCCACAAACGCCACAGGATTGATCATTTCCCATGACAACAACGCCCCCGTCGACTTTCTCAAAAGATGCAAACCAGTCTCGCCTAGGGGTCACATGAAAAGTAGCGCCGGAATCAAGCATCCAATCTGATGCATCCACATGGTTCACCTCCGGAGTAATCAGTAGAGAAAATCACGAATCATCGGAATCATCGCCTTTCGCAATATTCACCTCATTGGCCTTCGGGCCCTTTTTCTTGCCATTCTCTTTCTCCTTGAGCTTCGGGCAGTCTCTCTTCCAATGTCCCTGCTCCTTACAGAATACACATTGGTTCTTTGTTAATTGGTGGCGGCCTCTAGACTTTAACCTCCCTCTGTTATCACCTTTCGTATATGGGCTTCTGCCTCTCGTCGACAAGGCCTCGCCTGAAGTGATAGCACGGGAAGTCTCCTTGTCCTTCCTCCTCAAATCATAATTTGTCAAAGCGTTAGTCACTTCACTATAGCTGATAAAAGATCTCCCGTTCAACAAAGTGAGCACGAAGGTATCATACTCCTCATCGGGTAAGGAGCCCAACAAAATAATCGCCTTGTACTCATCCGATATCTTCTCATCAACATTCGCCAAGTCCGACAATAACTTAGTGTAGTTGTTCACATGAGCCGCTAACGAGGTGCCTCTGGACATCTGAAATCTGAAGAGTCTTCGCAGCAAGTGCAACCTGTTCTCAACACTCTTTGTGAGATACTTGTTGTTGAGAATTTCCCACATCTTCATTCCAGACGTCACCCCAATCACATCATATTTCAGTTCCTATTCCAAACAGGACCTGATCACCCGACACGTGTTCCTATTCATCTTATCCCATACCGCCTCTTCATATTTAGGTGGCCTCTCGTGGACCACGATGGTCTCTTCCAAATTCTGAGCATTGAGCACATCCTGTACGTCGCTCATCCACAAACCAAAGTTGATTTTGCCGTCATACTTCACCACACTAATTTTAGTGTTCTGAAAACCAACTTGTATTGTACTCGCCATCAATTTGCTGTTTTCACCTTCTTCTCCCATTGCAAACTAACTCCAAATTGTAGAGAAAGAACAAATTTGATAGAATTAGGAACCACCCAACTGAACCCTAGATCGGATTCCAAATAGATCTCATATCCACACGAGGAAAGCGAAATCTCCAACGGCAACTCCTAATGCTATCTCCACCGAAGCCGAGAACTCCAAGAACTAAGCTTCACACAAGAATCTTCCTCCACCAAACTCCAAAACCCTAGATCTGAAATCTAGGCTCTGATACCACTTGTTGCGCACAGCGGAAATTTCGGCAGCACTTCGGCAGCACAACAAGAGAGTCAGGTCGCAATAAGAATTCTTATTTCTCAAAGGGAACAAGAATCTGAAGCCTAATATCTCATCAAAGTGAGATATTAGCTCTTCCTCTCGTCAGCTTTAGGACTGCGCGTCGAGGGAACCTAAAAGCTATTACAAATCATACAAATAGCAGTACAACCAATTTTACGTGGTTCGACAAATTGCCTACGTCCACGGGGCAAGGAGGGGGAGATCCACTAATAGAGGGAGAGAATACAAGTAGGGTTTACAATCACTCACAATCTAAACCCTCAAACAAACTCTCAAATCCCTCACAACTACCTCTCAAAGAGATGCACAAAACCCTAGAAGGGACTGCTCAAAATCTCCTCAATTTCTCTCTCAAATTCTCTCAATACTTTGCCTATCTCTTTCTGCAGCCGCACACCTGTAGCCGCAAAGCTATTCCCCTCTGCCTCAAAAATCAAGTCCTTGCACACCAACCTAAACAAAAAAAGAACTAGGCTTATATATTGATGTATTCGGGTGGGCCTTGGGTTATTTGTTCACATGGAAACGAATTCTCACGCGGAAACCACGTCCTTCATTCACGTGGTCTGGCCCACCGCCCACTACAAAACGCGTTCGTTCACACGAGCACAATGGTAATACTACCAACACCCACAAGGTCCTGGATCAATCTCGTCCGCCTAAGGGCATGTTTGTTTGCACGGAAGTAATTGTGAAGTAGCTGAAGTAAAAGAAGTAGAGACCACAAAGAAGTAGAGACCACTTCTGCTACTTCCAAGCAAAAAAGTGTGTTTGGTTCTATGAAAATCTTAGTTCCATTACTTCCCTAAATGCTTATGTGGCGCCTACGTGTCATCCTTACTTCCAAAATATTTTTCCAATCTTCAATACTTAGAAGTAGCTCGGAAGTAGTTAAAATGCATATTAATTATGACATAAATAATTTTTTTATTAATATTTCCTTTATTAGTTACTTCTAACAACTTTTCATTGATAAAATTACTTTCTAATAATACTTCCAAATGTTATCCAAACAAAAAAAAATAAATGAAGAGAAAGAAGTTCTACTTCCATTACTTCTAAAAATATATGAAACAAACAAAAAAAATGCTATTTCCACTACTTCCTACTTCATAGCTTTGAAAGTTACTTCTATAACCTACTTTTTACTTCTAATACTTCCATTATTCAAACGGACCAACATGAAGTGTGGGATGGGAATGGAAGGTGGGGCCCTCACACTTGGGATTTACTTGGTAGAGTACGGGGATCAGACTCGGGCTTCGGCCTGGGCATCCTCATGCCCTGCCAAGTTCCCTTGTATCTCAGAAGGGGGGGGGGGGGGGGCGCTAGTCTAATTCTTCAACTTTGCATAACATTTTTCATTATTCTTCCAACAATAATACCTTACTTGTGATGACAAGTAAGAAAGTTTGTAGAACCAATCTCAAGCTTCATCCAGCTGGAAATTATTGGCATTTTGCTCAATGTGTTACATACATCTCTTGCTCAAAATACTTGGACAAAAGCTAGGTCCAATAAACACATGACTTTAAAGTAGCTACTTTGATTCTTAATCCCATCTTTTTTTTTTATCTAAGAACATAAAACAAAACCTCCAACCCAAGAAATCAAAATCCTTTCCCTCCCCTTCACCCATTTGAAAAATACTTTGCACAGCCCCACAATCCACCAACATATTCCCCTTTTACCCCCAACGCATATAAATACACACAACCCCCACAAATATTATCCCCAACACATAAATACACACACAGCCCAGACAACAACATCCATCCATCACTTGCAATGGCCTCTGCCGATGACCACCACCCTCAAAAACTCGAGGGCTCCCTCCACGACATGATCTCCGGCCTCACCAACCACCTCGATCATCACCCTCGCGGGTTCAAACAAGGGAGCGGTGATGAAGGCGGAACTCCTTGATGGAGCGACGGAGATGAATAAGGCGAAGGTGGGGGAGGATGAGGGTAAGGTGAGTGCGTATACGAATAGTAACTTTCAGGCGGTGAACAATTCGATCATGATGGATGGGGAGTGCACGGCCGAGGATCCAGGTGTTCATATAGAGATTGTTGACTGCATGGACATCGAAGAAGAAGATGAAGATGGTGACGAGAAGGATAGGATGAAGAGCAAGGGGAAAAAAGAGGAGATGAAGAAAAAGAAAGGGAAGAAAGAGAGTTTACATGAGGAGAAGCATTTGGAGGGGAAGGAGGGGTGAAGAGTGAGGATTTTGGAGGGTCCTAGAAATAAAAGATTTTAAGGAGTGTGTTCAAAGTTTGTCTAGTGAATGAAATTGTAATTGATAAAAGGAAAATATTCATAACTGAGGTTTTTTATGTATCAAGGAATGAGTAAAGTGTGTTGAATAAAGATCAAGTGTAAGAGAAGTCAATGGCAATGGGCTTCATTAAGTATATGAAATAAGATTTTATTTTATTCATTTCTTAATTTTTGGCATTCTAAATTTTGACCAATTAAAGAAAAAAATGACATATATATTTATTAATATTTGATTTTGAATCAAATTTTAAGACAGAAAAAGTACACATAGTACCCCAGTACTTAATTTCCACAAATTTTCTGTCCAAGAAGTGCTAAACTTACTATGGACAACAACAAAAATCAATCATCAGTTCAAGTTCAAATGTTCATGAGCTCGTTTGCTGCCTTGAGACCCTCTGCTTCAATTTCTCATCCAGCAACATCCCCGACTCCTCATCCGTTTGCAATGCCCCGTTCTTCTGCGCCTCTTTCGCCTTCAACCCCTGCAACTTCACATGGTTATAGTACGCGACCCCCAAGAATGCAATCCCATACCCGGCCAAATTCACTGTCGTCACCGTATCTTTGATCACCGACCACGAAAACGCAATCAGCAACCAATCCTTCACCACACCCGCCACATTCATCGTCAGTGCCGACGTCTTCCCCACCACCAGAAAAACAGCCAGGTTCAGCGCAAACGCGCATAGAGAATTCGTGCCAAAAACCAAGTAATCAAAGTTGAGTGAAAAAATGTTGGTAAGAAGTGGAAGCTCGACGAAGAACCAAGGCACAAGCAGAAAGATGAGACAGCAGGGAGAGACATAGTAGAGTGACGTTATCGGATTCAAAGAAACCCCTTTTGAAGTAAGCAGGATCTGGATGAGGACTAATCTCGTGGCCTCGAAGGCCACAGCGGCGAGCTGGAGGGAGACGCCCCAGGAGTTGAAGCGGGCCTCACCGTAGGCTGCAACGGCTACCCCGCAGGAGATACATAACATGTTAGCCAATGTATCACTCTTGAAATTCTCCTTCTTGAACTGTACCCCGATTGAATACACGGCAACAGGCATTAGTGCCTTCAGCATCTGGATGAAGGAAACAGACAGATATATGTAAGCAGAGTTTGAGAACCATAACGAAAGAGAATACAGTGCACCGATGGGGACCACGGAGGAGAAATAGAGGTCGCGTGACATCGCGGGAGAGGATGGAAGCTCGACAATGCGGAGCACGCGGATCAAGAAGAAGGCGAGGGAGGAGCAGAAGGACATGTGGATGAGGGTGAGGGAGATGGGGAAGGGGAAGTTGTACATTTTGGGGTCGAGGATGTACTTGTTGTAGATGATGACAGAGAAGGAAAGGGCGATCCATATCGCGACGTAGAAGTAGGAGACAAGGACTTTCTTAAAGACGCTGGTGGTGTCCCCGGCGGAGGCCACCATTGCTTCTTCAAGATTTGAATTTGGAATTGAATCAGAAATGAGTTTGGTGAATTGTGCATGCTTAACGTGTAGATATAGAAGCTTGTTGGGTTGAAATCAAAGTTAAAGTTCACATGGGAGCATGAGATTTTTTTCTCAGACGGAAAATACTCCATTGTCCACTGTAAGATTTTTAGCTTGATATTTGATGTTGCAAGGTACAGTTAACAAGTACTTTTTATATATGTCGTTCTGTCAGATTGGAGGGCCACCAGACAAATATGAGGGTTATCTGGTAAATCCTTTCGGTGTTGTGTGACAGTTTTAGAAGTTTTTTGTGTTATTTCAAATGAACCAAACTTACTAGGGTGTTATGTGAAATAAACCCTTTAAATACACTGACCGAAATTATGTTGTACAGAAAAAAGGGTACTTGAGAGGAATTTCTTCCTTGAATTGAGATAAATTTAGCTAAAAACCTATCTGGTATCAGATTTTCGAAGGATTTGTAGTCAGAAGGTATCAAAGTGTAAAATATGTGAAATCTTAGGGTACCATTTTGTAAATTTAAATTCCAGAGTATTTCTTGCAGTGGATTGCTACTAACAGTTTGTTGTTCCTTCATTCTCACTCTTAACACAATAAATAGATCAGCTGACATTTTCTGGCCACATGCAAGTCCCTTTGCTTCAATTCAAAGTCTCAAAAAGGTTAAGTTGAAAATATAAGAGTTCAATGGCTTTAAATCAAACTTTGATCTCTTACCTAAATTTAAGCACAAGCTATGTTGGCTTTATAAGGATAATACACTATTTTTTTCTAATGCAAATGCTACAAAGAGAAGCTACATAACTTTGAGAAAGTCTTAAGAGCCATTTTCATAAACTAAATTCTTTGTAGTTTAAGTAGCTTCCTATTAAAAAGATGGTGTTAATACAGAAAGGGGGTCATTACTCGAAGGAATAACTAACATGATTATGATATGAGCTCCAAGAAGTTGAAAATCTGATTATTTGTGTAATTTCCACAATTATTCTCTGTCATGAATAAGTGGGATTATACAAGTCACCTCACTTTATGCATCTAACTTATTTAGCAGCAACAATCGGAATCTAATATACAATAAATACCATTGAATGGTAATTTTTTTTCAACATCAATATCCAAATATTCCCATGTCCCATCATTCTGTGACGTTGCTGGAAGCATGTTGATCGATGAGGATGATACATGACGAACATATGGTTTCTTACTTCAGAACATTTTTTTATTGTAGTCTACACAATCAACTGTTTCTAGTTTCTAAAAGTCAGAATTTATAATCTATTATTGCTACACGGTATCAGCCCCAAATCAGAAATCTGATACATGTAATTTAGTATCTGCTGCTCGTGCATGTTACATATATCAGTCTCATTTCTAGTATAAATATGTTTCATATTTTTCGATCATTACAGTACTGAAATTAGGAAAATTTTGATACCATGTGAGAACTTATTGGGTGGGTTCTTACTTCGAAACTTTTGATATAGTTTCCTAAATTAGCGGTTCTGAATTTCAAACTGTTAACATTTGATTTGTCTGATGCTAAATCAGTTCTGTATCAGAAAAGTGTTACATATAACCTAACATCTTATTCGTCCTCGTTAAATAGCTCATTCTAATTCCTCATCTATATGGATATTTGTTTAGATGCGCTGAAGCAATTTTGATCGATGGGGATGATGCATAATGAATATTTGGTCTCTTACATCAGAACTTTTTCTTCAGTAGTCTGCACAATCAACTGGCTCTAGTCTCTTAACTGCTAGTATTTATAATATATGGTTGCTACAATATCAGTTCTATATCAGAAATCTGATACATATAGTTCAGTATCACATTCGTGAATCTTAAATATCTCAGTCTAGTTACTAATATAAATATGTTTCATATCGTTTGATGTTTACAGTTTGACACTGTGGGCTGCATAAAGCTTCTCATATTTCAATATGATATTTATAAGCACACATATATCCATCTCTGTCAGAGCAAAACAGTAAGTACTACAGTTATGCGTCACATATTCTCCACAAGCTTTTAGCCTTGAAGCATTCCAACCTATTTTGGAATAATATTCTTGATAATACAGGGCAGAATAAAAGCAAACTAATAGCTGCTATTGAAAACAGGAGCACTGAAATGAGGAAATATTTGATACCATGTGAGAATTTATTGGCTCATTACTTATGGATTTCAGAACTATTTGTTGGATAATTTGATGATCTAGGCATGAATAGATGAACTAGAAATATAAATTAATTACCGTTCACCGAGGAAAATAATGAAAGTCTTCTCCTCTCTCCTCCCGTAGCCAATGATGGGAATTAGGTCTCTTTTCTGCATACGGTTGAGAGGAGGGACTCCCACCCTTTAAATAGATATTTGTGATTAACCCTATCCATCATGGTTTAATCACAACCGTGGGATTACACTCCGGTTGATCCTATCCTTTAGATATTCAAGATAACCACCCAACTTGATAAACTTGAAACTGTCTAACCAGACCATGTGGTTAGCATCTTGATCCTAACTTGAATCGATGGCAACTTTAAATCAAATCCAAAATCGAGTAGGTTGGGCCACTTGGGTTCGTTGGATTAATCGAACCCAACAATCTCCCACTTGGCACAACATACCTCATTTTAATTTTCAAAAATATTTAAATTTTCAAAAACTTTCAAAAGTCGGGTGCGCACCCATTTATTTTAGAAAACAACTTGTTGCCATGATTCTAATTAGGATAGTTTCTGAAACCTTTTACTTAAAACAAAAGTACCACTAATGGTTGATCGTGAAAACACTATATGCTCTAATATGACACAAGGTCACTCCACGGTCCAACCGCTAGTACCACTAATGTTCTAAAGATATTTTCCTTATGGTGGTTTTAGTGGAGTGTAATAGAGCCGTACATCCCTTATGGTCAAATCCGATGTACGCCCTTAAGTGTCCTCTGCAACATACACAAACGTGTATGCCGTTCTGAAACTTTTACCGGCATCCGCCATGTGAAAACCATCACCTTTAGTCCAGAACGAAAGCCTCAAATATGATGCCCAATCATATTCAGCTTCTGCACAAATTTAAGAGTCTCTTTACTTTAACCTTTATGACTCTATGGACCACTGTCTTTAATTCGAGTTTCTTTACAATTAACTTGAAACTCTTTACTTTAAACTTTAGTTTTCTTTACTTTAAAATATATATATCAAGCAACAATGACCAAGAACACAATGCTTGAAAATATCAAACTGCTAAAAAATTAGCAAAATAGTTTCTTTATGAGCTCAAAGCAATCCAGAATATAGTACTTGAAAATAAAACAAAACTACCACGACAACTAAATCTCACTGATCATATAGAATCGAAAGACTCTAAAATTGTTCTTTACAAACTGTACAACTGCCTGATTGTCACAATACAACTTTACTGGTCTCTGAATGGAATCCACCACCTTTAGTTCACTGATGAAATTCTTGAGCCAAGAGGCATGCAATGTTGCTTCAAAAACAGCAACATACTCTGCCTCCATGGTGGATGTCGTCACTAAGGACTGCTTGGCACTTTTCCAGGAAACTGCTCCTCCAGCGAGCAGAAATATATAACCTGATGTTGATTTTCTGCTATCAGCACATCCTGCGAAATCTGAATCTGAATAACCAACGACTTCTAGATTTTCAGACCTTCTGTAGACCAACATGAAATCCTTGGTCCTCTGCAAATACCGCAAAACCTTCTTCACAGCTTTCCAATGAGCTACACTAGAATTTTGCTGAAACCTGCCTAATATTCCCACGATATAACTGATGTCTGGCCTGATGCATGACACCGCATACATTAGACTGTCAACTGCAGAGACATACTCCTCAGAGTTCACGAGCCTACGCTCAACTTCATTTCGTGGGCATTGAGATTTGTTGAACATATCTCCTTTGACAACTGGGGCTTCACCTGGTGCACAAAATTTCATGCCATATCGATGAAGGACTTTCTCAATATAAGCCCTTTGAGATAAGCCCAACAAGCCTTTAGTTCGATCTCTATGGATCTTGATGCCCAAAACATAATGAGCATCTCCGAGGTCTTTCATATCAAAATGCCTCGAAAGAAAATCTTTAGTCTCATATAGGAGATGAATATCGCTGCTGGCAAGCAATATATCATTTACATATAATACTAGAATGAGGAATCGGCTCCCACTGATTTTAAGGTATATGCAGCGATCGACAGGATTCTCTCGGAAGCCATTTGATGTTATCACTTGATGAAATTTTAAGTACCACTGTCTGGAAGCCTGCTTGAGACCATATATTGACTTCTTCAATCTGCAGACCAGATCTCCCTTAACTGCAAACCCTTCAGGCTGCACCATAAATATTTCCTCATTCAGATATCTATTCAAGAATGCCGTCTTGACATCCATCTGATGGAGCTCAAGGTCAAAATGGGCGACGAGAGCAAGAACTATCCTGAGAGAATTTTTCTTAGATACTGGAGAAAAAGTGTCGACGTAGTCAATCCCTTCTCTCTGCTTGAAACCCTTGGCCACTAGCCTGGCCTTGAATCTCTCAATATTTCCTTCAGAATCCCTTTTGGTCTTGAAGACCCATTTGCATTCCATCTCTCTAGCTTTGTTCGGCAAAGGTACCAACTCCCAAACAGAGTTCTTTTCCATTTACTGAAGCTCTTCTTCCATAGCCTTCAGCCAGTCAGCTGCATGAATGCTGTCTCTAGCTTGTGAGTATGATGGGGGATCTTCGGATTCTGGATCAATGCATCCACTTTCTTGAAGATAGACCTCATAGTCATCAGGTATGGCAGATCTTCTGACTCTAGAGGATCTTCTAACAGGTTGTGGCTCTTCCGCAGGTACAAAGGTTTCTTGAACTGGAGGAGGAGGTGGAAAGCTATCTGGAAGAGTAGGAAATCTAGAGATGACATCTAATAGCGGAAGCGACTGCTCATCTTCTAAAACTTCCTCAAAACTCAGACCACGATGTTCT